GATGTATGGTTTTTGTTATTAGTGTCATTTGAAGTTCAAGGCTACACGAGTACCAGCCCATGTGCATTGGGTATGCCAGAGGAAAAGCATACATTTTAGGCTGACCTTTCTCAAAAAAGTTGGTGTTGTGGAAGAACAGTACGATTTTCACAAAAGTGGGGTCAGAATGACTGCAGTGAGTTACTGGACAACTCCCTAAAGGATAAGCTTGTGAATAACTGCATTACACCAAACGTGCCACCCTCAGGAATTGTCAAAGTGAGATCTTGTGGGCAAGAGCTGCGGTCTTGATTTAACCCCTTCCAGCCGGGATTCTTTTGACTGTGACTGCTGGGCTGCGGTATGCCCAGTATGCAAAGCTCTGTCCAGCAGCAAGCCCACATTGAAACCACAGGTGCATGATGAATAGAATGTATTTGTGGTATGCACTAATCCTCACACAAAGCCACAGCTGTGGAGGCCTCCTAGTATGAAGGGGTTAACAGCAAATATTTTTCCCTCAAATCTAAAACTACAGTACTTCCATTAAAAACCTGTGCATCTGATATTGTACTCCAGATAAGAGAACTGTTTCCTGTTTCTTTGCACTTGTAGGTCCGATGGGTCCACCATCAGGACCTATGATTCACACCAGTGGACCAAACCCGTTCGTGCCTCTGCAGGTATGCCAGTGCCTGTCCCATGTCAACATATTTCTTGCTGTGGTTACCAAGGGAATAAATGTATACCTTGGCTGGCTCCAGAGAATGGAAGCTGACAGTGTCCTTTGCCGAACCCATTCAAAAAATATCTTCTGAGTCAGAAAGTCAAAACAATTTAAGAAATACATAAATTTTCAATGATATTGTTCAACAAGTTTAGTTCTTTTTATTTTCAAATACCCCTCTAGGAAATTATGGTATGTGCCACTGTACGTCTGTGCATAGCCCTAACAGTGCCAAATCCTCTGATGTCAATATGATTTTACATACATCCGAGGAACTAGGGTTAAGCAACCATTTAAGTCTGGCTGCACGGCAGTGTCTCGACCAACAGGAATAGCTAAACTGTCTTTGTTATTTATGAATGGTTCTTAGTAATAAGTCAATTCCATTTAGTTCACCATTCATTCTACCTGACAGTTCACAATTTCTATTTGTCGAGGGCCCATCTTTGGGTAGTTTCAACAGATAAAACTACGATCTGATTTTAAACATACTTCGTTTCCTGTGAAGTTTAAACTGAAATTTTTATGGACCTAAACTCTCATACATGACAGTTTTTGACCTAAATATTGCCAGACAGGCACGTGCAATACAAACAAAAGCCCAAAGTTCATTGTACATTGGCACCGTTCCGTTTGGAATCGCATCACACAGTGTGAATTGTGCGTGCTAATGTTCAGAGATTTAGTACTATTCTCGAGAGACGCATTCTGTAGAAAGCGTGACAGGGGTGTATAAAAATGACAGAAAATTGATGAACAAAACTGGGAAATAAATAAGTTTTGAACTTTGAATTATTTCCCCCTGAAAAGGTATTTATGAGTGGGAACGAAAGAGTGATTGAAGGGTTACAAAGAAGTATGTTTATCAGCAGCTAGGGATCAGGGGATGAACCGCTGTTCATTATAATTCTTAGATCATTTCCTGTTTCAATCATCTAAGTTTCATTTGATTCCATTACACTTTCTTTCCCTAATTCATGTGGAAGCCTTGCAAACAGTGCCCTCATATTTCATTGTCTACAGAGCATTGCATTATTAACAATGTGTATCTTCTGTCTTGAATTTACTGAAGCTAGTTTGAAGAGTTTGTTCCCCCTTGTTCAGGTAACCAAGCAACTAAATTCCCCACAGAGATTGACATCTATAGAGGCAGAAGCTACATCAGGTACGACACCCCCCAGACAACAAATGGAATACCCTGCTCAGGCTCCACCGTCCCAGGGTGCACCCCCTTCTAGCAGAGTGGACCTGGCCGCAACAGACCAATCAGGGATCAAGGATAATTCCCACCAAAGCTCCCGGAGGGAGCTCGACTTTGGCAGCAGTACCGTCAACACCGTCGCACACAGCACTGAAGTGGTTGCGTCTGTGGAGCATCGAAAACCAAGCATAGATGAAACATTGGGAGCAGTCCATTCAGAGCGGAGGGCGTCCACTGGTGGTCCTGCCAGACACCGCCGAGTTTCCTCCAAGGCCAAACTTGCCATTAATTTTGGTGGGAAACCTGAACAGGATTGAGGTCCGTCAGGTCAAAGGTCAAATTGTGACCTCAGTGTGCTGAAACTGAACACTGAAGTTCATTCCAAAGTTAATGCATTTTGTTTTCTTCAGAAACTCAGAAGTAAAACTATTTTTAAAATCAATTGACTTGTTTTGCTGTTTATGACCCACTAAGTATTTAAAAAATGTTCATTTCCCTCCAATAGAAAGCATGAACATGTAGTGGAATCATTTCTTTACTCTTTTTAATGCTTGTTCAAATACATCTAATATTTTTAATCTATTTTGCAGTAATGTAGTTAGTTATATGACGTGGTACACATCAACACCCAGAGTGACGATTCTTGCCTGTTTTCAGCACAATTTTTTAAAATTCTGAAGTCAGCATTGATGGAAGTGGATGTGGAACTAAGAAATGCAAACATTTTGAAAGGGATGGTGGATCTTAAACGTCACTGTATAGTTGAAATGCTCACGGATGTTCATGGATGTGTCACTTTGGATACCAGATTGATCCATGAAAATGCAGACATTTTTTAAGAGTGAAACGCTGCTGACAGTTTGGTTTTTAAAGCTTGTCAAATTTATGTACTGTATTTGAGGTAAAAGAGAAATATGAAATGAAACATTTACCGGGTGGAATTGGGCTCTGACAAGTTTGGTTACATGTACATGTACTTAATATAAATGTTGGGCGTGTTTGGTCGGTCGGCCAGAATGTTGGTGGGATTGAGTTGCACTATCATTTGATCCAATGACATGTCTGACTCGACATCCCGTCGCTGAAAGTCTTCCACAGCTGTGAATGTTTAAGGGTAATCGTCTGCCATGGAGATTATTGACAGATCATACAGTCGGATTGACTGATTGCACAGTAATTGAGTGATTGTGCAGAACGACTGAACATGCCTAACATAAACACTGCCAAAAGTAAATCGAAATTAACCTAAAAGATCAAAATTCTTCATTTTTTTGGGTGGAATTTTGGTCTTTCTTTTAAACAGTATGCTAGTGAAGGTTGAACCACTCTCATTATAACATGGTTGCTGGAAGCTGGAACCTTGTTGAAGTTTGTTCTACATGTAAACCAGAGCCTCGTTATCAAATGGACTGGAAAATAAAAAGCAAAAGAATTCCAGAAATGTTGGCTTTAATCTTTTTTGTTGTAGCAGTATTTTGTTATAAAAACTCCTTACACTGACAATTGAATGTAAAAACAATGCAGGATGGAATCCATGCTGAATATTTTTTCATTTCATGGGAAATTAGTAGTCAGAATTTTAGAATCATTGGGGACAATAAGCAGTTGAACCACTAGAAATAGTAGACTTGTGTTATTTGAATTCAGACTTGTAATTGTATTCCCCCCCATGAATATTCATGTGCTCAGATCTGCTGTGCAGAGGTACTGGCAAGGGTTTAAACCCATCATTACAAATTTCCTGCATGCATGACTACTATTGAGGCATGCAAGTCGTATTTTCAATAAATTGGGTGACATGGTTTAGGAAACTTTGACATTTATTATATGCAATAAATAATAAAGAATATTTACATCGTTTGATTTGATGAAAAGGCATTGAAACATTACTTTCTGCATAACTTACAGTGTCTTTGGACAAAATTCAACACATTTTGATTTGACTTTCAGATAAGTCATGTCAAGATACACTAGTTAACATTGTGTACTCAATAAAAATTGAGTACCTTGAAAAGTTGTCCTTTCAATTCGTCGGTTGCATCACAGACTGACTTATGGATAATTGCTGCATCTCAAACTGTCATATCATGTGTACAAAGTCCATGGATGGCACATGTACGTCACTTCACAGTGCACCATAACTATCCTATAAGTCACTTCCTGGTGAAACCGACAAAGTTTCCTTGAAAAAGACATAAAATGCCTTTCTGCAGCAGTCAAAAAAAATCTTCAGACTCAAAAGTTAATAGCAAAAGGATTGACTGTGATGAAAGATAATTTTATTGGTTGAATGATAAACTATTTACTTTTGAGTGTTTTAAATCAATCAAAATGTCAAAAAAAAATCCAAACCTTAAATGTATGAATTTCAGGAAGATCATTTGATCAGGATAAGATGAATACACACTGAACACTGCCATTGTTATCCTTTATATTAAGTTTGATAAAACAGAATAGCGATGATGTGTTAACGCGTCCTCTGAGGGTAAGAGCTACTGTATCACTGGGATTGGCTCAAGTAAACCTTTCCTGTAGTCATTGTAACTATTAAAACTAGCCTCTGGGACACCGTGGAGATCCCAGCAATGCATAACTCTATATTCAGGTTCAAAATATCCCTGCTGCCGAAATGCAATGTAAGGCCTGCAAATGTTGGATTGAAAAAGAAACCGTGATAACAATATAAAAAGGTGCAGACTATTACTGAATCATCACAGTTGCTGTTGAAACCTGGGTGGGGGGCAGTGTGACCAAATTGGATGAGTGTTACGGAGATACATGTATGACATCTCGGATACAGCTCATAAACACCTGAGTGAGTCACCGTTATCTGACTGGTGTGTTGTCAATCACGTCATCGCCTTATTCTCTGTATTCAGTAGGGGGACCATCCCATCTGCCTATTGCACTACGCGAGCTTTAAAAGTAGGCACAGTTGCCGCTCTGTATAAACACAGGCAAAGGATGTCATTCCACACGTGTGCTGAGAAAGGCACAGTCGTGGCTCCTCACACAAACAAAATTCCAGTTGTGATTCGGAGTGTGGAAACTTCAATTCCAGCCTGTTAATTCCAAGCTGTGAATGTAAACTGGCGTCTTGGTACTCAAGGAAGTTTTATTTGAGCATTGTATGTATCACACAGTGGATATCTCACACTCCTTAAAAAGGACCATTCAGTTTATCACCTCATAGACATTTTTCTGACCTCTGCACTCATAGACCTTTAGTATCTGTATACTGATGGTTTGGTTTTTTTTGGCTCCTTGAATTCACTGTCAAGTTGTGTCATCGTCTTGACTGCTGCGATGCCGATCCAGCTCCATGGCTAGCTCCTCAATGTACTGACCACTGATATCCTGAGAGGGGACACAAAAGAACAGGAAGTCTACTTCCAAAGCCTCCCTGACAATCGTCATACACAAAGGGCAGATCCAGAACCATATTCTTTAGGGGAGTGGAAGTCCCAAGTAATTTCCAATAATTTCTGATATGCAACAGTTTGGCCTTTTATGTGCTGTTTGGAAAGAAGGGAAATGAAAAAGTCCCCCCAAATTACTTTGTTTTCTTATGATCCAAAACCAACAAAATTTGCTCCATGGCTAACGGAGCGCCATGAACCCACCCCTCCATCCGGATCTGCCATTGCCCTACAGGGGTGTGGTTGGGGAATGAACAAAGTCCTTGCAACATCCCACACAGGAGTGCTAACAATAACTATAAAACTAAATGTTCAGGGCTTTCCAATAGCATGGACACTGGGGTGGGGGTGATTGCTTCCCCCCTCCAGAAAAAAACATTCCAAACTAAAAAAGACAAAGCAAAAGAAATGATAAGAGACTGAAGGGTATAAAAATCACCAATTTGTAGGAGAAGTCTTCGAAATTGACATTCTTCAACTGTTAATGATTTAGCAGTTTGTTGCTGATGAGTGCTCCCGCCCCATGAAAATTTGTCCCCCTTATAAGCCTTAATAATGAAAATCATGCATTTTGGGGGTCCTGAAATGCTTCGTAGCAACCGACTACGCCTCTACAGGCCTAAAGTTTTGCCGTCCAGAGCTTCTAGTGACCACTCACCATGAATTTCTGCAGCTTGTTATCAGTGAAGGTTGAGTGGTCTTTCTCTGCTTGCAGTCTCTTGACCATGGATGTCATCTGCAGCTTGGTCTTTTGGTGGTCAGCCTCGGCCTGTCTGGCTAGGTGACTCAAAGCCTGTCTGCTGGCCTGTAAAAATATAAACGAAATAAAAAAACGGAAAATGAAATTGGCTTTCACGGATCCAGCTGCTGGATTTACAGACAATCTCATTGAGAAGTTCCCAAAACATTTCAATGACTTTGCCAACACAGTACTGCCCTTTAAAATAGAAGCTGCCGCAGGGAATAATGATGTAGCAAGCGTGTTAATCCTTACAAACCCACCTGCCTGTTCTGATCATATCCCTAAACAGCTTTCTTTCTGAGTAGCAGGCTTCATCATTCCTTGTGGCACCTACCTTGATCAAATTCCCAGCCCTTGTGCCTGTTCAACAGTCTTCCTTCTCTCTTGCACCAACCCTGAACACATCAGTACCCCCTGTGTATGTTCTGCAGGCTTCACTCCCCCAAACGTTATCATGTACCTACATGTAGCTTCTGCACTTGTTCTGAAGCCTTCATGGTCCTTATCCTACCCTGATCAAATCTCAAGCCCTCTA